CCCTAAAACCTAAAAATCCTAAACCCTAAACCCTAAAACCTAAACCCTAAATCCCTAAACCCTAAACCCGAGAGGCGGAGCCTGGCCAGGCAGCGTGGCAGAGAGCTGCTTCAGGGCCGCGGTGTCCGCCGGCTGCTCTGAGAGTGCCTTCTCCAAGATAATGTTAAAGGAAACCATAGTTTTCTTATTTGGGCTTAAGGTTTAAGGTTTAGGGTTTAGGGTTTAGGGTTTAGGTTTCTTTATGGGAAACTACAGGTGGGGAGTTTAGGGTATATAGGGCTCCTATAAGGCTTCTATAAGGTATGTTGACCTTCTAAAAGGCCCCTATAACGGTAACTACCCACCTGAAAATGTCCTAGATACGGGATGGTTACTATAAGGTTTGTGTTTTTGTGTTTAGGTTTAGGGTTTCTTATTATAGTATAGGGTTACTTTATGGGGTTTAGGGCTTGATATAGCATAAGGATACAATAAAGGTTCAGGTTAAGGGCTTGGGGTTTAAGGCTTACCGGCGTTTTTGAGTTGAAGACTTTTTTCCTTTATAGCCATGTGGTACAGATGCTGGAGCTTGCGTTCTTGCGGCGACGCAACGCAAACATGTCGGATGTTGGTGCGGAGACCAAGAAGAACTGCATGCTTTCCGAGCATGTAGAACCAGCATGCCTCCCTTTGCATGCCACTGCTGTGCCAGCTGTGGCCCCTGCAGCTGCAGCAGATATGCTCCAGGATTGTCCTGCAGGAACAATCGTGGTTTGGGCTGGGTTAGAGTAGATGGCTTTCGGAAGTTTCGTTCGCGAGTCGTCAAAGCCCCATGCCAAGAAATGCCAGCCTCCTCAGCCCGCAGCTGATCTGCTGCCCTCTGCATCTCAATCACGTGTCTTCGTGCGGAGCCCTGTCGCCACAAACAAATAGTGTGGGACCCGGGCGGAGGAAGAGCTAGGAGCCCGCCTCATCAGAGCAGACTTCCGCGGTCCGCGGTGTATGTGCCACGTGACGGGCCCGGTTCATCATCGTAACCTCTTTCGAAGTCTGCATGCTTCTGAAAAGGGTGGTGTCGGTGTAAGCTTGTCAGACTGCAGGTACTTGCAGTCGTCCTCCTGGGTGGTTGGGCTAAGCTCGGACTCCGTCGTGCGCCGCAGGACATTACGACTTCCCACGTATAGCCAGGTTTTTCGGCACAGGTCCTGAACCCTAAACCCTACACCCTCAAACCCTAAACTCTAAACCCTACAGTAAACTCAGACTCGCAGGTTTTGCGCTCGGGTGTGCAGGATTCGGGGTTGGGTTTAGGGCTCGATCTGGACACGGAATGAACAGCTAAGCCGAGGTTTGGTTTTTAATGGTTTGGGTTTAAGGGCTCAAGGGTGTTAAGGCTTTAGAGCTTTTAGGGCTTCGGGTTATTTTTACCTGAAACTACCATAACCTTCCTTGGGTATGCGGTTTGTATTATTAACCCTAGTATCGAATTCCTACGGACCCTTCCAAAAAAGTAGTAGTAGCAGTAGTAGTAG